ATTTCAATTAAATGATTTATCCATATTTGTTTTTTCGTTCGACAAGTCCTTTTCTTTCAAATCAATAAATTTTTTCCAAAAATCTAATTCGAGAACCAAACATCGTAAAACCAAATTACTTAGGGAAGCTTCTTGACTTTAGTTAGATTTTTATAAATGTGGAGACTAGGATAATTTTTGCAATTGTGAAATGTTAAAACATAGTGTCATATTTAACATGTTTCCTTTTAGAAATTTGTTTTTTAAGAAAATGTTTTTTTTGGCAAATAGTTATTTGAGAAAACATGTCATACCGAAAATTGCATGTAACATATCAATAATATTATTCTCATTAAGCAACAAACACATATAGTTATATAAGCGGCAGCAATAAATAGTTCTCTTTTGAAAAATATCATATTTCAAACAACACAACATATAGAAAAATATGATTTTCCGTTAAGCTATCTATAATATATGTACACAACTATGTTTAGCATTTGTTCTGATGTGTGTTTAGAATCTATTGATTGAATGTGAATAAATTAAAAGAGTATACATAACTAAAATTTTACCTGTTATATGAAGTAGGTTATATAGATTATAACAAACTGATATAAGTACTTTGCTTTAGAGTTAAAAAAATTATAAATATAATGGCATTTTATGTTAGAAAAATGATAGTACTTTGCAATTATAGATAAATAAGTAAATTACTATATTTTTGTAGATCATTTCAAGTAGTAGGTTGTTATAAGTACTATTCCATATTTCCAATAAGTTCCAAATAAACATCACAATATATGAAAAACCATTAAGTTCAACAAAATCATAAAAGTTAAAAACTTGTGGTCGCTTCTAAAAATCAATAAGTTCCACAAAACGCTAAAGTCGAAAATTTGTTCTGGGATTAACTTTATATGGAATCTAAAAAAAATACAATACACATAACCAAATTCAAGAATCAAGATACATAGTAATTCGTCGTTCTAAAAAAAAGATACATAGTAATTGTTGATTACTTTCATTTGGATACCCCAGACATTTGTATCAACATGTGTATGTAGTAGAATCCATGCCAAACTTTCACAAAGCAACTAATTATATGGGGATAACTCTTTTCCCAAAAAAAGTAACACAATTTGAGCATTTCTTGCATTTAACTCAAAAAAATAGCAACATACTTTGTTTATATCTTGCAAATAACTCAGGAAAAAAAACTCAAAAAATATTTCAGTAAGAAACATTGAGGTAATCCAAATCAGAAACCTACTATTGCAGAAACATAATCACATTCCCTCTCCTACAGTCCGATTATGAATTTAATTCTTTAGGTTATCAAGATCTTCCTGTTTGGGTTTAGTAGACAATTTTTGTCCTAGATTCTGTATATCCATCTTGTAATCTATTAAATCCCAAGGATAATGACATAAGAAAAAAACAAAATTAGAATTTAAGATTGAGATGTACTTAAATGAAATTGAAATAGAAAATCTATCACAATACCAAACTATAGCTTCACTAAATTAAGTAAAATAAAAATGAGAAACATGTCACACAAATCGTGTTGAGTTTCAAAAAATATAAAATCCTACAGTCATTTCATGATGAGATTTGTAAGTACGTCTCGATTTTTGAATTGTTTATAATGATTTTTTTGGAACTATATTCAGGTCAATGAAACTTTATGAGAAAAAGTGTTGAATATAAGTTAGAACAAATTGAGATGTCTTTAAATAACGCGTGCACAAAACATGATTGCTAAAAGTAGAATGCTATTTTAAGTTTTTGTAAAAGTAGGATGTTATTTTTAATATGTACAATTAGGAACCAGTGTGTTACATCGGTTCATTAGATTTCAAAAACCTATCCCTTCCTGGTTTGCCAACCCGGTATTTTAATATTTTAATATTTTATGATTACACGGTAAATAAAATAACCAATATAAGAAATAACAAATGATTCGTAGAAATTAATCATAACAAACGATAAACACTAACCATTAAAATAGTAAAAATTAACATATGGTGCATCATAAGCATGAATATGCTTTCTAGTGCAAGAGCGTGTGTGTTAGTGGGTGATTATATATATTTTTTGGAAAATTCCTTTATTATTTATGACACTAATGAAAGCTTTAAAGATTTGAAAATAAATAAATTAAAAAACAAAGCTAGAACGATAATGAAGTTCCAAATTAGAAAACTATATATAAAAACAATTGTATCAACAGTTGTAATCAAAACTAACCTCATGTAACGCATGACATGAAGGATATTGTGCTTATCTCCATCTTTTGTGAACAATAAAACTATCTTTCCTGTAAGTAAAGCCTATAAACAACATCCAAAAAGTAAACTAACAAATAAAAAATACTTCAAAAACATATTATATCAAAAAGTTATCATGTAAAGTCATAAAAGGAAAATGGCTTCAAAATACATATCATTTACTAAGTAACAATTAGTAAAATTTGACAACAAATATAACATTAGCATAAGGTAATGGAGTGGTTTCATTGATTTGCAATTATGTGATCGTACAACAGAAAAAAAATATATATTACAAAGGATAAAAGCTATGTCTTGTCTGTACAGCTTCCATATCTATTCATATTTTGGTCTAGGCTAAACATAAAGATGTATTTGAAGATTAAACTTGTCTTCTAATCATAATTAAACATAAAACTTTACTTTTCTACTGATAGCAACATAACAACAGTTTCTTATTCTTGAACCAAAAAACAAATTATAATTTCTTTCTTTTTTTAACCTTTTGACAGTTGTTTGGATTAACAACATTCTTCTGTGAAAAAAAATCTTTTTATCCAAAAAATATTACGATTTCAACCCTTGACAGCAACTTACAATTTTTTATTTGATTTCCTTCAAGTACCAAATAAAAACTTACTACATTTGATCAAGTCATTTACTATTTTTATCGGTCCTCCTATCTAATGAGAACTTCACTACATAAGCCATTAACACAAAAAATGATAAATCATGTTTAAAACTCATAAAATTCGAAACGAAATGGGTTTGCCACTTTATAAAGCATAATCATAAAATAAAAAAAATAAAAATATTATAATTTATAAAACTTATGAAGAGAGAAAAATTTTAAAAATGCAGCATTGATCCACATTAATTTTGCTTGAAATAAATCTTTAATTTATAACAATTTGTAAAAGTTCTTTCCTTTATTAAGATTTTGTTTTGATGCTTACCTTTTTCAGCATGAGAACCTTATCTTGCAACCCATACATTGCTCTATCATTCCCCTGTTCATTAATTTCATGGGAAGGGTAAGAAGATGAGGCTCTAATACCATCATCTTCAATTTCATCAAATAGAGAATATATGTTTCCACGCACATCTCTACATTCAAACAATGCTAGTAAACAACTGATGCACGCTTAACTAAGAATTTGCTAATTTGAATAACATAAGATCAAATTGATGCAAAAATGATAGAATTCTTGTGAGTTGTGATATCATAGGAAGTGATGTGACTACCAATGTGACATTATTTGTTTTCTAAATGTTTGCAGTCCGCAATAACATAAGGCATGGTATACTTGCATAAGAACCATTTTGTTTAAATCTTAAATCTAGAAACTAAAGCATGTTGATTAATGAATTTATCTTGGGAGACTAAGATTTAATCAGGATGTGGATGGACAAGTAAGAGGTTGTAATAAAAATGATTAGAAAAACATATGATTATCATTATCTATCTATCCCTAAAACTAATCAACTTAGTATCTTCATCTTGTATGATTTTAGTTATAGGCAATAAACGCTTTCAAAATAGGAGTTCAAACAATACCTAAACTAATTCCAATAAACAACAAAGGAAGCCAAAAAAAAAGGAAGCAGAATACTAACAATTTCATAAGAATCGATTGCAACGTACTTTAACCTTAATTTTTTAAACGGACATAACTTTCTAATACGGACTCCGTTTTCAATGATCTTTACATCCACGGAGTCATCTCAACAAGATCAACAAATCTCCTCAACTATCTTTTGTTGAATATAATTTCTCATTTTAAAGCAACTCTATGCTTTATTTCAACTACTCATCTCATATAATTCACGTCTAATGAAATATTACCTATTACAAAAAAAAACAGGGACAATCGAGGGTGATTGGGAACGATTTGCTTGTTGGTATGAGTTTGATGAGGAAAATTGAAGTTTGGAGTAACAAATTTAGTGGTTGGATTCCTGAATCGCTTACACAGATGAGCATTCTTGTTGATTTGCAGATGCAGGATAATGAATTTAAAGGTGAGATACCGGATTTTGAACAGAAAAGCTTGATGTTGTCATGTTTATGAGCCTACGACTGAGTGAAGTTGAGAGGGAGTTTCGTAGGTTTTTTGTTTATATGGTAAAAGAAGATCACAAGATCACAAGTCTGGTGAAAGGATATCAGAGACAGCGGTAAGAAATATCACATGTTTGTGTGTTTTGATGATGAACATGGGGGAAGATTCTTGAAGATGAAGATGGATTAGGTTAAAAAGATATAAAGAGAAAAAAAAATGTAAGGTAAGGTACGGTTGAGATGGGGTATTGGGCGGATTTATTTGTTTTTAATTTTTAATTAATAAAGTAATAAAATAAACAAGAAAAAATACTAAAAGTAAATGAAAAGGGTAAAATTGGCTTTTCAAGTGTATCATGGACCAAAATTGTAGAAAATCTAAGTTTTGGACCTACATGCAAGTTGGAAATATTTTAGAACACATCCATAGATTTTTGAATACCACATATTTTAATTTTGCTGTGTGAATGGCTAGATGTAAAAATGTAACAAGTGACCACACCCAATAGGGAAACATGACAACACACAAGATATTAGTATATAAATGTTTGAAAGATGTAAGGTCATTGAACAACGAAAGTACCAAATCGGTGTCAAATTAATTTCTTGGGTAATTTGTAATAGGGAAACTTATAGGCTTCAAACACACAAGATATTGTAAAATAATTGAAATTAAAATGAAAACTTATGCTATGGGCCTTTAAACACACAAGATATTGTAAGATTACAAAATCCTCATTTCAAAACTCTTCAAATTTTAATTTAGACAAACGAATTAAAAACTGGAAATCATCAACTCCAATTACATACCTTACTACTTTACACAAACCTTGTTGAAAAAGATTATAGAACAACAAGCTGTTGAACTTAGCAACAAACTCAGAAACAATACAATCAATCAATACCATCGTCATCTCAAGCATAGCAGCTTCTGTTCCTCAGTTTCGTCAGGTTTTTCTCCATTCGCATGGGCTGTGGCCTGGACACAGATAAATTAACCGATGAAGGTTCAGATAAATTGCTGCTATTCGAGTCGACATTACACAACACCCCTGAGTTTTTAAGAAACTGAAAGTCATCCATGGACTGCCTGTAGATTCTGGGAGATGGGTTTCTCTGTTTAGCCTTCGTTGACTCAGTCAAGCTCATATAGCTTGGCTTACTCTCTTCTGCTCTTTCCATGGAAACTGGAGTTGTGGTCGATGTGCATAAAGATGATGAACCAGAGCTCCCATCATATCTGTACTCAGAACTTGGACTAGAAGATGAACGAGTTCGTTGACCAACAATCTGGGGTGGTTTTGCAGAGATTCTTGTCGTTACATTGTTCCTTCTGATCTTAACCAGATCCGGTTCTGATGATTTTCCGGTGGTTACTTTGTGGTGGTCGGCAGAAATCTTGGATGGTGGCGGAGTTGTTTCCGATGGGTCGTTCTGGCCTTGCTCCATTAGACGATTCTCCCATGGCTTTGCTGACATCCATCGTTCTAACCAACTCCATCCCCAGCTACTTTTGTCAAATTGTTGTGTTTTAAGAGAAGTTAAAGAAACTCTCGTTTTTGAATCGAGTCCTTGATTCGATCTCCATTGCTAAAAATTCAAAAAGACAAAAACATTAGCATTTCAATTTGAAATCTGATAAGAAAGACGAAACGAAATGGAAAGACATTACCTTTTGAGCAAGACCATATGCTAGTGCTCTTTCACGTTTAAACGCTCCCTCCTGCCTCATTTGAATCTTGGCTTTAACTTCTTGTAAAGTTCCTCGATGATCACACCATCCTTCTTCAGCTTCTTTCAAGAGCTCAGCTTGAGTGCGACGCTCATTGAGCATGTTTTGAACAGCTTGACCTTCAATGGACATGCGAACACGACGAGCCCTTACTCTAGCTTGAACACGAACAAGAGCCTGCATGCATCTCAGGGTCACCGCGGCCTGTTTTCTGACCTGCCGCCCTCGGACTAAGGCTTGAATCCTTACCACTGCTTTTAAGGCTCTTAATGCTCTTCTTGCCTACAGAAATCGAACCTTTAGAGATTGTGTAAAGAATCCAATAAGTAGAAGATGAAATCATAGAAAAAAATTACCAAAAACCCACGAAAGGCGGTTTGGATGCGAATGGCGGCCCATTCTTGCCTGACAGCTTTGAAATCTTTGGGTTGGGCTCGAACAACGGTAGCAACAGCAGCGGAGTAAGGATCGGAGCTGATAACAGAGGATGAATCTGATCCATCAGATGCTGTCCCCCTGTAGCTTCCTTTGAAACCCTTCCAACCAACAATCATCTCCCCCGATGAACTCCTAAATAGTTTCCATTTCTTGCAACTCTTACCTGACTTATCCTACATGAAAACGATAGGATCAAAATCGATTCCGTTACTATAAACGAAAAGCGTCAGAAAGCAACAGATCTGAGGAGATGAAGGTAATGACGTGTTACCTGGTCAGCTTTTTCTGATTTTTTGAGTATGAGGGATTTCATCCATTTTCCTGAAGCACCCATTTCTGAAAATCGAGTAGATTACACGATTAAACCTTCAATTGCGAAAAGGGTTTGATGGTTAGGAGACGATAGTTATCAGATTCTTGATACAAGAGAGAATCTGAAGTGGGTTATGCTGAATTGCAATCGCGAAGAACCAGAGAAATGGGATTTGGGAATTAAAGTGGTGGTGGGTTTCTTGGGAGTAGTAGAAGAGGTCAAGAGGGTGGTTTTTTTGTCTTGTAGTATTTGAAATTCAAAAAGATGCACAACGGGCAAGAAGGGGGGAGTGCGATCGTGATTCCCGCTCGAGGAGAGACAATAAATGTCAGGGGTAAGATAATGCCATTGTGTTTTGGGAAAAATTACAAAAGTGCCACACAGAGAGTGGTGTCTGTTCATAAAAAGAAGGGAATGGCCTTGTCGGTATCATGAAAAGGTCCAAACACATGGACCTAAAAGTTTTAAAGCCAACAATCAAAAGCGAATCCCCCATCACAATTTAAACAAGTTTCAAGCTTTTGAAACATGGCTTTCACCTTTTCAAATAATATTTTTTTTATAAAATTAAAATTAAAAATATTTCGTTAATTAAATGAATATTTCACCTACTTCGTAATTGGTATCGTCACATTTGCTGATTTTGTATATATGTTCTAAGGGTGGAATTGGTACGGTATCAATTTATTTTTTTTTAAACCGTATACCGTACCAACTATAATTGGTATAAAAAAATTTCTACCCCGTACCGTACCAAGTATACTTGGTATCAATTGATTTGACTACCAACATGTTTCGTTGGTACAAATTGGTAATGGTATATACCAACTTCTTTTAATTTTATATTGTAAGATTTAAAAATAAGTAAAGACATCGGGATTTTGATGTTTAGTATAAAAATTAGTTACATAGTTCTTTTTGTTTACAAAAGAATTCTACTAAAGCAAAAACATCGGGATTTTGATGTTTAGTATACAAATTAGTTACGTAGTTCTTTTGTTTACAAAAGAATTATACTAAAGTAATGCTAAATTAACGTTTTAATTTCGTGCTCTAACGTGATAATAACTATTGACTAATACAATCAAATGACTAATATAATGTTATTAAAACTGTAAACACTAAACACAATTAATAGTTGAAATATACGATTTCATATATATATATATATATATATATATATATATATATATATATAATAAATGAATTGGTTGATACGGTATTACCATGGTATTCAAATTTTTGTACCATTACCGTACCAACATTGATCAATTGGTACGGTACTACCAACCAAACATGTTGTCTACCAAATGTATTGGCTACCAAGATTATTGGTTCGGTTGGTAACATGTTGGTTGGTTTTCCGTGGTACAATTTTGTCAGCCCTAATATGTTCCATATAATAATGGAAGTGATTTGTATATAACATTATATAAAAATTTATATTTTACAAAGTTAAAAGTTATATAATACACATTTTAAACATAAACGATTGTGTATGGAGAAAAAAATTATTATGTACAAATTAGCTCCTACAAAATAATGGTTGTTGGTGATTTTAGTATTACCATGTCATTTTGTGTAACTGGAATTTACATGTGAGCAAAAGGGACTTTATAATTTGTACTCTAATATATGTGTTGGTATATGTGCGGAGTAAGCGCATGTATAAGATCGAATTAGAAGCTGGTTCGACGACAAGTCGGGGGTTCGGGGGCAGCGCCCCTAGGTTCGGGGTTTCCAAAGGGGCAGCGCCCCTAGCTGGGTCCACGGGGTTTGGGACAGCGCCCCAAAAACTCTTCGGATTTTACAAGTGGATACATAGTGGAAAAATAGAATTCTTGAGGGGAAATATGTTAAAACTGACTCAGATAGTCAGTTTTGGAAACCCTTGATTTCCTCAATAATTCTGAATTCCCTTGACTTGTTTCCAAAGGAACCCATGACGGTCAATCCTAGAAGAAAACCCTACATCTCGTTTTCTATATAAACGACTCTCCTCTTGAGGAGAAAGATCACCTTTTAGCTCTCATTTTTCTTTATACGAACTAAGAATATTCTAGCAATTTGGCTTACATTTTCTGTGCCTAGATTCGTAAGTGTCCCCTTGGGATTATCCTAAGTTGAGCTTTTTGTAACCTGGGCATAGGGTAGAAATATCAGTTTGGAAAGTGTTTACACGATCCAAGGGTATCCAGATCTCCAATATAAACCCTACCCAATTTCTGACAATCGAACTGATTTTTCCTGTTTCTGGAGATGGGTGAATCAATTCGTGAGATGACCACGAAGTTCACAAAACTGGAGAAGTTTGAAGGCGTTGATTTCAGGCGCTAGAAGAAGAAGATGCACTTCATTCTGACTACTCTGAAGTCAGCATACGTGTTGACTACTCCAATACCACCTGAACCAGAGGAAGGTGTTGAAGAGACACTTTAAGAAACTAGGAAGAGGAAAAAGTGGGACAACGACGACTACATCTGTAAAGTCACATCTTGAACGATATGTCTGATGCTTTATTTGATATCCATGGTGATACTTTAACTGCTAAGGATTTTTTGGGACACCCTTCAATTGAAATACATCACTGAGGACGCTTCTAGCAAGAAGTGTAACGTCCCAAATTTCAAGACCAAAAATTTCATTTTTGATATAACAATTTGGAAAACATTTATAAGAAAATATAATTGAGTCATATCATTTCATAAAACCATAATCTCATGTCTCAAAATCATATCGTAAAAATAGTAACAATGTCAGAGTACAATCTCAAGAAATCTCATAGTGCGGAAATCCTGCGTGTGTGTGATGTGCCGCTACCGCGCCGGCTCCTTCCCCTTCGCTGAAGAGGTACCTGAAACAAAATTGAAAACTGTAAGCACGAAGCTTAGTGAGTTCCCCCATCATACCACATACCATACAATCACGTAGCATTACATACTGCCGGGCAATTCTGGGGTGCCGACCTACCCGGTCCGGCCATTCTAGGGTGCCGACCTACCCTGTCAAGCAGTTCTGGGGTGCTGACATACCCATGTCAAGCCATTCTGGGGTGCTGACCTACCCATCGGTCCTAATAACCGAACTATGGGGACTATTTCACCCCTACTACTACTATCACACATATCGTAACATAATCATATTGTCAGGCATATCTGGGGTGCCCGAACTGCCCTTCGGTCCTAACAACCGAACTTGGGGACTATTCCCCTCCTACTACCACTATCACATATAACATATCATGCTAGCACATAAACATATCAGGTAGTAGCAAACCTAGATGAATATCACAAAGACAATCATCTAACATACAACCCTTACTGGTGGGCCGGCATTGTGGTCGTAGACCCACGGCTACTGGAAGGTAACTCACCTCAATGTCGTGTAGTATCTGCACGGTCCTCAGCACAGGAATCGACCTGTCTCTACTCCCCAATCCCTACACACCAACCTTTTCCGATTACTATTGCATACTCATAACCCTTACAAGGGTCAATCCAAATCCAAGTCAAAGTCAAGGTCAAACCCTGGTCAAAGTCAACATCCAGTTGACTTGACTCGCCGAGTTGGTCCACCAACTCGTCGAGTCCCTATCCTTTCAAAATGATACAACCCCCGACTCTACTTGTCGAGTCTAGCAAGAACTCGACGAGTTCGCCTTCAACCATAGCATTGGGACCATCTTCAACCGACTCGCCGAGTTCATCTTCGTCTTATGAATATGTCCAGTCTATGACTCGTCGAGTTCTATGAACAACTCGTCGAGTCCGTCTTCATGAGTTGGGAGATTGCCTTGGACTCGCCAAGTCTGTTCATACACTCGTCGAGTCCTAAGATTCCCAGGTCCAAGACAAACCCCTAGCAGGCTGAGTTTCCTTCCACTCAACCAAAACCATTTCCAGAAGTTGTTTTGGGGGAAAAAGCGTCCCGACTCGCCGAGTCACCCAAGTGACTCGCCGAGTCCCTCTTTGTCCAAAACTATACAGTCGATTATAATGGTTCTTAACGCGTCAAAACCATAGATCTGGCCTCCTAGGGTCCATTTTATACGTAAAGCTTCAAACTTGATGTACATGCATGGGGCCTTTGGCTCAAAAAGCCATAAAAGGAGGTCTACAAGATGCATGGGGTGTTTATGGCAACAAAGTTGGCACCTTTATGCCATAAAGACCCCCAATAGCCCCAGATCCGAAGTGCAACTCTAAGCACACCCACAAAATTCGATTTTTGCTTCTCTATACTCATTAAAAGGGTAAAAATAACCCCAAAACAAAATCTAAGAGATAAATGGTCAAGGTTCCAACTTTTTACCTTAAATGAGCTGAGAATGAAGTAAAACTTTTGGATCTCCTTGCTTCTACGTGAACTCCCAAGCTTCCTTCTCTTCTCCAACTTCAAACACACACAAAAATGCACAAAAATGGCTTGAGAGCACTCAGACAGCTCCTACTCGTCGATTCGGTCTCCCGACTCGTCGAGTAGGTCGCTTAAACCCCCGATCAAAAGTCGAGTCTACTCGATGAGTTGGGCCTCCAACACGCCGAGTCCCAAAGTAAATTGCAACATTTCTTGAATTTAAATACGTACCAAGAATCGGGTGCTACAAGAAGATTCTGGTTAGTGGTTTTTAATAACTTTAAGATGGTCGATTTAAGGTATGTCACTGAACAATACAATTAACTCCTTGGTATTTATGGTCAATTTAAACTGCACAACATGAATATGGATGAATCCATTGTTGTGTTAAGTGTAATTAACAAACTTCCACCATCTTGGAAGGATTTCAAACATAAGCTAAAACATCAAAATGAGGAACTGTCATTAGTTCAACTTGCTAGTCATATTCGTATTGAAGAATCTCTGTATACGAAGGAAGTTGTAAAATCTGATAAAACCAAAGGGAAAGTTGAATCTGGACAACCTTCGGTTCATATGGTTAAAAACAAAGCCAGGAACCCGAACAATAAAGCACATGGCAAACGTAAGCAGGAACATGTCCCAAATAACTCCAAAAAAAAAAGAAAAAGGAACTGGTTTGTTGGAGGTGCAACAGGGTGGGGCATTGCAAGCATGATTGCCGTGTGAACTTGGGCAACAATAATAACAATGATGCTGGAAACAGTGGAGCCAATGGAAGTGTGAACGGGTCTTCGGGCCAAGTAAGAGGAGGTCCGTTTTTTACTAACTTTGATAATTCTAATCAGAATTATGTTTA